TAACGCCCCCACGGCTGAAAGGGCGAGCATGTTTGGTGTGACGGGGATTCGAACCCACGACCCTCAGATTGCGAGTCGAGTACCTTAACCACCTGGCCATGCCGGGCCCTGAAATGTTCTTGTTCAGAAGTTAGTTACTAGATGAAAGAAAATGTTTCCATATAATTATTTCATTCAAATTGTTTGATGTAAAATAAACTTTTCTTGTAATATGTACCAGTTTTTATACTTTCTAATGATCACATCAAACAATAAATAACCGATACCCAACTGAACAACTCTGACAGCTTAGCCATGATTTTCTTTTATTCAGGAACATGTTTTTTTTCTTAATTTTTTTATGAAGTGTTATTACAGTCCTGTATTTACAGTATCCTTTAATAAATTGGGATGGGGATTAACTGCATACCACATAAATGCATTATTTTACAGAAAAAAGTGACCTCTAATGAATGAAAAATATTAAAAAATGGTTTTTACATTTCTTATTTTATGAATGTTTTACGATACTTCTTGTAATTGTCCACCTGTCTGCTGCTGGAAAACATCAATAGTGTCTTCATCTTCCATTTCAAGACCTGCAGGAGTATCCGTTTCACTGACTGGCTGTCCATCAAAACGGAAACGGACATTCTGAATATTCATGCCCTGTAAATATTTATAATTTAAAAAAAACCTTTCTTTAACTTATAAACACCACCAATGAATACAAAATTAGTTGAACTTCTTTTACTTTATACCATTAAACATTATACTGAGTACTTTTATGTTTTTTGCCTTTTAAAACACTCAGTGTAGAAAACTCACCAAACAAATTAGGTGAAATTATTCATTTTTTGTGTAAAATACACCAAAGATACCAGCAGTAATCACTGGGATTAACTGTAGCACAAACATTTCTTACAAAGCTACACAAATATGAGTAAAATACTGCCATGGAGAAATAATTCACAATTAATGTGAATTTTCACAAAATTACAACATACATAACTTGGTAAAAAGTGACTAGTTTAACTTTTCATCTCTACTACCCTAGAATTATCAATGGGTTCCATATGGACCCCATTATCTTTTTAAACACATCTTAAATTATTTATGCAACAATTGGTTGTGGGTCCACAACTATATTGGCTATAAGGTCCCAATAACACAACAGTCACACAAAAACATCAATATTGCACTTAATCTCACTAATTATACTAGCATTTTTCTATGCATTTATATAAAAAATTAATGATTTCACCTAATTTTTAACAAACAAAAATGTACAATTACTAAATATGTGAACTCCATCAATAGTGAAAAATATAACATGTCAGTAATGTGAGATTAGCCAAATGAGTAGTTACTGCAACTTTTATAGTAGCTGTATTTATTTCTATATATATATATATATATACATAGAGAAGAGTTGCCACTTGCCTGAACAACTGTTATTAATCTGCAAGTTATACTCTCAGCCATGTCCTGGCAGCATTTGGTTCAATGAAATGTTCAGTCACTTAATGACTAAATAGCTACAGTTTAACCTTTTGAATTAATTCCTTAAGATTTCTCAACAAGGACTTGAAAATTAAAATTGTTCTGGACATGTCACTGAAGTGCTGATATTATTTTGCAATCAGGACACTAGTCATGTGTGATATGTTGGAAACAAGGATGCTGTAGTACCCCCACTTTTACATATTTGACTTGTATGGCAACTGTAAGTTATATTATTGTTATATCAATTTTCTGGGGGGTATGCCCCCATACATCATAGATTGAGCTGACTTTGACTTCTTTCAACAGACCCTTATATTTTTAACCTCTCATTGAAAAATTTGCATGTCCAGCCAAGCACATCAACTTTGCAACTCCTTCCTACACCAGCATGTACCATTACCCTGCTGCAGTAACATGTTGATGTGCTAACAAAAAAGTCTGTCAGAGTAAAAATAATGTGTTAATTTAAGATCTCTTGAGACACAAGACCCTTTAGATGTGCTGAAACATCAAATATAGACCACAATTTGAATGTACTGAATAGAGCCCACACCACAAGAACTCCACCACAATCCTTACCAATTAGCACACAAAATCACGGCTGCAATTGTTCACCTCCCTGCCTCCATATATATATGGTTATCATTTTGAAACTGGAGGAAATGGCTCTCATCACTCCACAAATTTTGTGGTCAATTGTCAACATTCCACTGTTAGTGAACTTCATATTAAGCAAGGTGTGTGCAATAAACAATTAAAATTCCAGACACAGAGAATTTCACATTTAGATTCTTTTTTAACTAGATAATAATGGAGTAATGTGAAATTTTGGTTCTGAAAGATCAAACAATTGGTTACATACAAAATTAATAAACTACACCATATATTTGTGGAGATACTCAATATCTCATGTATACGTGTGGTATTTTCAGTTTAAAAAAAAATTCCAACAAGTATCAGACAGAAAATCCACAAATAACAGTAGATTCAACCAAGTAATAAAGGGAGTGTTCGATAACTCATCACCTGACAGAATTTTAAGTTGCATGAGAAATAAACAGACTGGACACATTTAAATGACTCTGAAAACAATCTTTATTCAGACATAACATAACAAGCAGTGTGTGTACCTCCATAGATAATGGGATGATTGCCTCTATTGGATCGGTATATAGCTAGTCAAGTGTTTTGTCACTCAAGATGAATCTCTGCTAAACTAGTCACAACGAAAGCCAAGTAAAACTGAACAAAGAAAGTGTGCCTGGATTTCTAACATTACCTTGCTTTCTTTGTCCAGTGGACAGCATCACATCATGATCTCCATTCCATGACAGCATTTACCAGCTGTCAGTTTTAGCTGATGTTACAGTTTGGCCAGCAAAGAATATTCTAGTTTTAATTTGATCAAAATACTCTGAACTATCCTTGTGGGCAGAAGACATCATCTAAGAAATGAATAAAGGGCTGAGGTGGCTAGAACAAGATAATGATAAACACCCTGAATCATGTGTTGACACTATGGTAGTACAGAAACTAGATAGTCATTAACTTGGAATAATTCTATATTACTACAGAAGGTAAGAAACCACTGATATTCCCACATACCACATATGCACTAATTGTTTTGAAAAGACAAAACTATTTTTGAACCCTCACTTTTTTCAGTGTATTTTGAGCGAGCATTTGCAGCATGTAGAAAAGTTTCTTTCTTTTATAGTTTGTTTTTGAATTGCTAGCCATCCCTAATTTAGCAGTGTAAGACTAGAGGGAAGGCAGCTATTCATCACCACTCACTGCCAACTCTTTTACCAAAAAATAGTGGGATTGACCATCACATTATAACATCCCCACAGCTGAAAGGGCGAGCATGTTTGATGTGACGGGGATTCGAACCCGCAGATTGCGAGTCGAGCTCCCTAACCACCTGGTTCTTTTATAGACTAAAACCTTTTGCATAATGATTCAGAATAGATTTGAAAACTTAAAAGTTGCCATGTTTTAATGATTTTCAAGTTATTTGTATCTCTTTAAAAAAGTACTACTAAAATGAATACATGATTACAGTGACATGAAATGAAAATATTTAGTATTTTGTTGACATGCTGAAATTTATAACAAAAAGTATGTCAAGAAAACTGAAGTTGAGGTCAACCATAAATTTTACCATTTTTAGAAGTAAAATGACAATTAAATGCTTCTCTCTGTAAATAGTTTTCTCTGATAAGCTTCCTGTCATGCTAAACTTGGTTTCCATCTTTCCCATTCAACATATTGTAGTGCCACATGCAAAATCTCGTTTATGGAAATCTTTACCTAGAAAAAGATCCTCCTTCACCCAAATAGTCTTGTTCAATGTTATATATACTCTGAATGATACCAGCCAACACCTATACCCACGATCATCATTCTATCAAAGACCAAACTAACAATAGGGGAAAAAAGTGAAAGAGCGTACACATATATCCACATATCTAGTTACAATTCATTTTGATTCTAACAATGTTAAATTCATATATGTTAACTTCATATATATAATAACTAGAATACCCACACTGAAAGGAAAGTAATTTAGGGCAGCAATGACATCTGAAAATCAAAATTCAGTACAACCACTAATCAAAAGTAACCAAAGGCTCAAAGGAGGTTGTAAAATAGGGCTAAAAAGGTATATTGACCATACTAAACTCACTACAGAAAGTAGTTCTATAACTGTTTGTCCCATGACATACTTTTCTGGCAAAATAGAAATCACAAGAGAAGAGCATACCAAACTTCTTAAAATTCATATAAAACAGAGGGAGGTGCAGGGTTCCTGAAAACAGAGTTCTAAACGAATCAGCTCTAAACAGGATCATTTTAACATTACATATACGGGAATATGTAACTGAAGGTATTGTTTCTTACCTGTGAATGATATATAACTGCTTTATTTAGGTACTTGTAAACACAGATTGTTACAGTACAGTATTATATATTAAAGTAAATGAACACAAACAGTCTTAAAAAACAAAGAAACACATCAATTCATGAACAGGTGCTGACCCCAGGGTGGAAGGCAGTGGACATCATTTGACTCGTTATAATGAAGAACATGATGCTGTAATATTAGAAAAAATCCTAAATTTCTCCTAGTGTCAGAATTGTGACTGTTTCTCTAAGCATCCCCTCTTCTCTATTTTATTCATCACCCCTCCAATAAGTATGAAATTTAATGTAAATTACTCACTATAAAAAGGAAAGCAAATTTTTATTAGCCTTTAAACTTGTTTGGTTACAGAACCATTACATAGAAAATCAGACCCCTCCTGCCACATCCTCTCTTTCAGAATTTGTCAATACATGTAGTTCTATAGATATCATCTAGTAAAGCCTCTAATGATGAATAACTGAGGTATGTTAAGTTCATCTAATTCTCAGGTAAGGATGTTGAATATAAGTCAAGGATGTTGTTCATTGTACATGACTAAATTGTCAACATCCAGGTCATAACCATCAGGCAAAAAAGGTCTATCATCTCCCCTGTATTATCCATAACATGGGTAGTAAGAAAATGTGAAGAAGACAGAGGAACTGTACAGGTGAGATAAGGTAACTGTATTGTCCATATCCAAAACATATAGTCCAACAGCTCCTAAATATAGTGGATATGATAATGATATCTGGTAGATGTTCAAGGATAGTCACAGTTGTTTTGGGCACTTAATCATAACAATTAGGAATAGTTATTGGATCCAATGGGCATGATGGAGCAGTGTAGAACAAAATGGAAGTACAGAACAGCACTGCAGCATTAGCTACATAATAAGCCTGGGGAGGAGAATAATTGTTTCTTAGCTTGATAACATTATAAATGAAGCTAGGTAATAAGCTACATGTATGAAAGCTGATAAAGACACTGTACCAAAGTAATCTTTCTAGATTTAAAATGCTAATACTTCCACATCGTAATATCCACAACACTTTACTAAGTAGGACACAATGAAGTAACTCAGCATTGTAACAAGTGTCTTGATGGGTATTAGTTTGTATTCTATCTTCAAATTCTTTTTTGCCTTAAAACAGTTTGTATTTGGCCAAATAATAATAAATCATTTAAGAATATTAGAACACAAGTAACACAGTAGTTTTGGAATCTTTCCATAAATATAATGAAAACAGAAAAC